GAGTATGATCGCATTAGGGTGTTAAGCATTAGGGCGTTCGGGTTTTAGGGTATCCGAATATTGGCGTATTCGGAAATTCGTGTATTACGGTATTCGGGTGCTAGAGTCTTAGGGTCTTGGGCCTCGGTGACTTACGGTCTTAGGGTATTCGGGCAGTGGTGTACAAGGTATTCGGCGAGAAGGGTCTTACGGCCTTGGAGTCTTAGGGTGGTAGGGTATGATGGCATTTGAATAATAATAGGGTGCTAGTATAGTACCTATACGACCACTCTTCGGGTGAGAAGGAGGTTGTGGGGGGGGAGAGGGGGGGAACCAACATCTGACTCCATCGATCTCACTATCGATCTCACTCAACGGGACACCACGGGACACCACGGGACACTTGTCGATCTCACTATCGATCTCACGATCGATCTCACGATCGATCTCACTCAACGGGACACCTCGGGACACCGGCGGGACACCGCGGGCCGCTGGCCGCGCACCCGCGGGCCACCGGCGGGCCCAGTCCCAGCCACCGGCGGACGGGAAACGTTATGTTGCATCCTCGGGGGACCTTGTCCCGTCGCGGCCCTGTCCGCGTCGAATCCGTGTCGAATCCATGTCGGACGCGTCGGATCCGTGTCGAATCCGTGTCGAATCCGCGTCGAATCCACGCCAAATCCGCGTCGAGTCCGCATGGAGCACGCGTCGGGCCTCAAAAAGACACAAATTTTTGGGACAGGCGAGGTCCCCCGAAGATGCAACAGAAGAAACGGACTTTCGCTCCTACTTCGGCCCAGCTACAGGAGGATCACGCGCAGCTTCGCCTCGCCCGCACGCACGACACGAACACGAAACCGAAACCGATTTCCCGGTGGGGGGTCTCCGTTTCACTGCGATCTCACGCCCCAACCTCCGATGGCATTAAGATGTTTGTGCATAAAATTGTGAGATCGTCATGGTAGGAGAGTATGAAGGGCTTAAGGTCTTGGGGTGCGAGGGTCTTAGTGCGTTAGGGTCTTCGGGTCGTCGGGTTGGGGCATTGGGGCATTGGGGTATTCAGACATTGGGGCCTTCGGGACTTAGGGTCCTAGGGCATGAAAGTCCTACGGCCTCGGGGGCTTAGGGTCTTCGGGCATTGAGGCGGGCATTCGAGTGTTCACGAATTAGGGTTTTAAGGTGTTCGGGTATTGCAATCTGAAATTCAGGCATTTAAGCATTAGAGTCTCACGGCCTTAGGGTATTAAGGCATGTGAGCCTTAGGGTACTGGGGCATTAGGGCAATAGGGCGTCGGGGTCTATGGGTACGAGGGCCTCGGGGTCTGAGGGCCTTCGGGTCTTAGCTCCCTCGAGTCTTAGGCTGTATGGTGTCATGGTATTAGGTTCTTAGGGTAGTCGGGCCTCTGGGTCTTGGGGTTTTGAAGCGTTGGGGTCTCATGGGGGCCAGGGTCCTAAGGTTTTTGTTTTGTTTTGAATGTTCGGGCCTCCAGGTGTTAGGGCCTTAGGGTATTCGTGTTTTGAAGTCTTAGCGCCGTCGGGCAGTAGGGTCTCAGGGTCTCGGGGCATCATGGTTTTAAGGTACTAAGGCATTAACGTATCAGAAAACGAGGGTACTAAGGTACTACAATATACGGCGTTCGGGTAGTCGCGCCTTAGGGTATCAATCTATCGAGGTGTTAGAGTGTAATGCATCAGGGCACCCATGTTTTAGGGCATGGCCGTACTAGGATACCAGTGCATCATGGCATCAGGGAATCAAGGCACCAAAACCTTGAAACAATAGGGTCCTAGGGCATCCGTGCATCATGTGTTAGGGGTCTTCTGGTCATCGGGCGTTCTGCTCTGAGACCATTCGGGAATTGGGGCCGAATGGTATTAGGGCATTGATGTATTACGACATCAGGGTGCCAAGGTATTCGGCTAGTCTGGTCTTAGGGTTTTCGTGTCTTGAGGTCTTGGGGGCTCAGGGCCTTCGAGTTTTAGGGCATTAGAGCCTCGAGGCATCAGGGTCTTAAAGCCTTAGGACATTGGGGTCGTAGGGTCTTAACGCCTTAGGGCCCTAGGGCCGTCGAGCGTTCTGACATTGAGGTCTTAAGGTCTTCGGTGTGCTAGTGTCTCAGGCTTTAGGGCCTTCGGGTCTCAGGGCCTTGGGGTGTTAAGATTTGATGGGTATTAGGTTCTAAAGGTACGAGGGCCTTAATGGGGGTTTGGTCTTTGGGTCTTATCTTCGGGCATTAGGGCCTGAGGGTCTTAGGGTCTCAGGCTCTGAAGGCACCATGGCCTTAAAAGCTTAGGGCCCTTTGGCCTTATGGCATGGGGCCTTAGGGCCTCGGGGCACTAGACGCGTAAGGCCTGAGGGCCTTCGTGCCTCAGGGTACGAGAGCATTCGGGTACTAGGGCGTTCAGGTGCTAGGATATAACGGATTCGAGTCTGAGGGCATTGAAGTAGTAGGTTCAAGGGCCGTAGGGTCTTACGGTATTGTTGTCCGATGATAGTGGGGCCTTGGCGTAGTGGCGCATCATGTTTTGGGCATTGGGTCGTAGTGCCTTAAGGCATTGAAGTCTTGGGGCATTCGGGTCTCAGGGTCCTAGGCAGTCGTGCATTCGGGTACTATGGTAAGAAAATAGAAACGTACTACGGCATAAGGGTGCTAGGGTGTCGGGGCGTCAGGGTTTCTGGGCCCCGGGGGCTTAGGGTATGAGGGCCGTTGGGCCTCAAAGGCTTGGGGTGTCAGGGTCATTCGGTATTGGGGTGTTACGGACTTCGGGCCTTAAATCCTTAGTGCGTTAGGTTCTGAGGGTTTGAGGATATGAAAGTATTAGGGCACCGCGGCATTATGGTCTTAGGGTGCTAGGGTCTCAAAAGCTCAGGGCATGAGTGTCCACAGATATCAGGGTGTTCGGGCGTTGAGGCCTTAGGGCCGTACGGTGCTAGTCCCGTAATGCCTTAAGGTCTACGGGCCTTAGGATCTTAGGGTACAAGGGTATTCAGGTGTCAGGATATAACGCGTCAGGGTCTGATGGTACAAGTGCTAGGTTTTAGGGCCTTGGCGCAATGGTCTATCAGGCGTTCGGGTCTTAGGTAGCAGGGTACGGAGGTATTGAAATATTAAACTGTTAGGGCCTTAGGGTTCTAGGGCATTGGGGCACTTCGGCACTATAGTATGAAGATGTCAGCGCACTACAGTACTAAGGTGTTAGGGCGTCGGGGAATTAGGGTCGTTGGGTCTCAGGGACTTGGGGTCCCGGGGTCTTGGAGTATTGGGGCATTTGGGCCTTAGAGGCTTCGGGTATTAGACCATTAGTGAGTTAGGTCTGAGGGTATTATGGTACTCCTGTATCAGGGCGTTCGCGCGTTAGCGAATTAGGGTACTAAGACGTTCGGGTGTTCAAGCATCAAGGTGTCAAGATTTTCTGGGCGGGTGGGTATTAGGGCATCATGGCAGTAGGGGGTTATGCTGCCAGGCCATCAGGGCATTACGGTCTCAGGGCGATGGGGTCTAAGGGTAGTAGGGCTCTGAGGTGTTAGGGTCTTGGGGTCGAGAGGTCTTTGAATCTTAGTCTTACGGCATTGAAGTTTTAGAATATTCCGGTGTTGAAACCTTTGGGTGTGAATGTACTGGTGTATTGTGGTATCCGGATGGTATGGTGTGTGCGATGAAAGTATTAATGTATTAGAGTATTGTGGTATTAGGGCATGAATGCGTTAGGGTGGTTGGGCGTTAGGGCTTTAGGGTGTTGGGGTATGAAGGCCTTCGGGCGTTTCGGTGCTAGGGCTTCAGCGCACTAGGGCCTTGGAGTGTTAAGGTCTTGGGGCTCTAGGGTGTTAGGGTATTCGGGTCGTTGGGTGTTGGGATCTTAAAGTCGCATTATGGTGCTGAAGTATTCAAGTCTTCGGAGATTAAGCACTTAGGTTTCCAAAGTATTACTGCGTTGTCGTACTAGGGTGTTAACGCTAAGGTACTCTGATATTATGGTTTTGGTGGTATCGTGGCATTTAGGCATTATGGTGTTAGGACATCGCGGTAATGAAGACTGAGGGTGTTAGGGTCGTGGTGCTCCAGGGTGTTCGGGTCTTCGGGCTTCGGGTGCGAGGACCTTATGGTATTGATGTGTTATGGTGCTCGGGCATTCTGGTTCTAAGGTATTAGCGCATTGTGGTAGGTCTTAGGGTGATCGGGTCTCAGGGCCTGATGGCCTTAGGTTCTCAAGGTCCTGCGGATTTTGCATGTTAGGGTATCATGGGTTTGCGCCTTAGAGCCTCGGGGTCTTATGGTCTTAGGGCCTTAAGGTCTTCGGGTCTTGAGGCGCTCTGGTGCCAGGGCCGTAGGGTAGCAGGGTCTTAGGAGCTTATAGCGTTCATGTCTTAAGAAATATGGCATTCGAAATCTGAGGGCCCTACGGTGTTATGGTCTTGGGAAATTAGGTTATTAGGGTCTGTGGGCTTCCAGGTATTACGGTGTTGTGGTACTAGGGTGTTAAGGTCTTATGGTATGGGTGGCATCCTGGTACGAATATAGTATGGCGTTAGGGCATCGCGGTATTAGGGCCATAGGGCGTTGGGGTACTGGTGCTCTAGGGCGCTGGGGTCTTAGGGCTTTTGGGTATGAGGGCCTTCTGTTTTTTTTGTTCTCCTCAGTTTCGACTGGCAACCAATGTTGGGGCCAATGAATCGCAATCGTTGGCAATAATATCAGAGTTATTCGATGCAGTACACAGAGCGGCAAGTTTACCAGTAAAATCGAGCACAGAGCAGCACGAAAGGTCACTTGACTAATCGGTCGGGGTCGAACGTTTTGTCGAACTCATCGGCTTCACGCACGATTGCAAGGACGTCGTCGGGGAGGTCAGCGTCTACCTTAGCGCTCTTGGACTTGTTCCCCGGGGGGGAACGCACGATGACCATCGCCACTCCGAGTTTTGGTCAGACACCCTCCATGGGAACCAGCGCTATGAATAGCATCGTCGGAACCACGAGCGCCATGCGGAGCGGCACTAGGATCAGCACCGACAGCTTCATGAAGACCAGCTCGAGGAACAGCCCTAGGACAGGCACTACCAACTTCATGGGGGGCGGCACGGGCACAACCTTCACCAGCAGGGTCGGCAAGAACGCCTCCAGGGGGATCAGGACGACCAGCAGGGTCGGTATGAGGACCGGCACGATCACCACCACGAAGAGCAAAACGAGCACGACGTGAAGGAACAGCACGAGGAGCAGCATCGCGGGGAGCGGCATGAGCAGCACCTGGAAGAGCAGCACTACCACCGCCATGAGGATCAGCACGCCCATGAGTATTAGCACAACCATTGCCATGAAGACCAGCACCTCCATGAGGAACAGCACGGCCATCAGCAGGAGGAGCTCCGCGAGGATCAGCACGAACGCCGCCATGAGTATGAGCATGAGAACCTCCAGCGGGAGCAGGGCGGATAATCAGCGAAACGATACACTCGCCAGCAGAATTCTTATGGCCATGATGCGCAGCGACAATGTCAGGGAACTCGGCGATCAGGTGCATGAGCCACGTCGCCAGGAAACCATTGGACATCTCATTGCTCCACTCCCTCAACAACCGGATGTGCAGCACGATCTTGTTCGTGTGGGTGTTCACGACGAAGTGGGCCTTGCGACCCAGCGTCAGCTGCTGCACCAGCCACTGGAGTCTCGCTAGGGTGACCATTGCAACAAATGACAAATGCGGATCTGTGGCGCGCACGTGCGCGCTGGGAGGCCTTTGACTCGAGCAGGTGCTTGAGACAAAATGGCTCAAAGGGCCTTCTGGTATTGAGGTATCCAAGTATTTGGCTATTCGGGTTCTAAGGTGTTCGCGCATGTTGGCATTACGGTTCTAGGGTCTTCTGGTATAAGAGCATTAGGGAATTAGGGTGTTAGGATATTAGGCCATGGGTGTTCAGGTGGTAAGGGTCCTAGGGCATTCAAGTGTTAGGGTCTTAAGGCCTTAAGGTCTTAGGGTGTTCGGAGTGTCCGGGCGGTAGGGTCTTAGGGTGCTAGGTTCTTAAGGCCTTAAGGTCTTAGGGTGTTAGGTTCTCAAGGTTCGATGGTTTGAGGACGTTAGGGTCTTAAGGGTTTGGCGCTTTAGGGTCTTAGGGTATTATGGTCTTGGGGCGTTCTGGCCTCACGGTCTTCGGGTTTTGAGGCGTTCTGGTGTTAGGGCCGTAGGATATCAAGGTCTTTGGGTGTTAGTAGCTCAGGGACATATGGTACTAGGGTATTGGGGTCTGAGGGTGTTATGGTCTTGGAGTTCTAGGTTCTCTCTAAGGGTCTAGGGTCCTAGGGTCTCAGGGAATTGCATCACAGTTGTATTGAAGCATTAGAGGGTTAGGGTCTTAGAGTATAATGGTCGTAAGGTCATAAGGCATTGAGACCTTAGGGTCTTAAGGCATTAAGGTGTTCTGGCCTTGAAGTATTAGGGTATTGGGATCTTTGGATGTGTACGTACTTTAGTCTCCAGGTATTTCTTCCGCGTGGAAACGCGCAAAGAGTCCGAATAACCATCATCACCGAGTTATCATCATCATCACCATCATCACAACAACGACCATCATCAGCATCATCATCGTCGACGGCACTGCTATCACATCACAATAATTATCCTAATCATTCTCTTCATCGTCATCTTCATCATCATCACCATCAACGTCACCATCATCCTCATCATCATCATCGTTATCAATTATCATGTTGTTCACCCCTCGTTAGAACGGCACCCGCTGCCCCCTCGAACGCGAGACGCCGAGCATGCTGGACGGACACGGCGGCGGGACTTTTCGCAAGTAGCCCGATATTTACACATGCGCTACACGAATGGAGGGCGGATCTTTCCAAGAAGGGGCTTTGGACTGAATGGCAGGCCGATGGGGCGTTATCTTTCAAGGGAACGCTTCCCGCAGTGCAAAAGGAGCGTTTGTATAGAGATTCTGCGGAGGGGTCTTGAGACAGGAGGGTGTCTTGCAGAATCCTTGATGCATCCTGGGTTTACTATGATCCTCCTCCTCCTCCTTCCCCGCCTCCTCTCTCTTCTCTTTCGTCCTTTATTTCCCTCCATCCTCATCCTAGCTCCCATTCCCTAGCTCCCAGCCCGTGGTCCCTGCGCATGGTTCATGACTGCTGTTACTGCTACTGGCACTGATGCAATTCCTCCTCCTCCTCCTCCTCCTCCTCCTCCGCCCCCTCATCATCGTCATCGTCATCGTCGTCGTCTTCGTCGTCGTCATCACCATCATCATCGCCACACTCACCACCACCACCACCACCACCACCACCATCATCATCATCATCATCATCATCATCATCATCATCATCATCATCATCATCATCATCATCATCATCATCATCAACATCAGCATCATCATCATCACCACCATCATAATAATCATCATCATCATCATCATCATCATCATCATCATCATCATCATCATCATCATCAACACCATAATCATCATCACCAGAAGCATCATCATCATCACCCCCACCATCATCATCACCGTCACCGTCACCATCACCACCATCACCACCACCACCACCACCATCGTCATCATCATCATCATCATCATCATCATCATCATCATCATCATCATCATCATCATCATCATCATCATCATCGTCAGCATCATCATCATCGTCACCATCATCATCATCATCATCATCATCATCATCATCATCGCCATCATCATCACCCCCACCAGCATCATCACCATCACCGTCACCATCACCACCATCATAATCATCATCATCATCATAATCGCACTCATGAATTTCATCACCACTATCACCGTCACCATCATCATCATCACCACCATCATCATCATCATCACCAGAATCATCATCATCATCATCACCATCACCATCACCATCACCATCATCATCATCATCATCATCATCATCATCATCATCATCATCATCATCATCGGCATCATCATCATCATCATCATCATCATCGGCATCATCATCCTCGTCATCCTCATCTGCATCATCATCATCATCATCACCACCACCACCATCATCATCATCATCACCACCACCACCAGCATCAGCATCAGCATCAGCAGCATCATCATCAGCATCCAACTCATCTTCATCATCACCATCACGCTCGTGCGCTGGCGGCACAAACATCACGCGCCGGATGCGAGACGGCATGAGACTCCAGAGCCTGCCCGCCCCCCCCCTCTTTGAGGGGCCTCCCCGCGCCCCCCCTGCTCTCGCCCCCCCCCCATCCGAGGGGAAAAACAACAAAAAACTCGAGGGGGGGGGAAAAAAACTCGAGGGGGGGGAAAAACTCGAGGGGGGGGGGGAAACAACAAAAAACTCGAGGGACAAACAACAAGCCTCCGAAGGGGGGACAAAAAAAAACAGCCCCGAGGCCCCCCGGGCCCCTCCGCGGCCCCCCCCCCCCCGGGGGAAAGAAAAGCAACAACAAAAAACTCGAGAAGAGAAAAAGCCTCCGAGGGGGGGGAGAAAAAAACTGACTCGAGGCTCCTGGGCCCTCCCCCGCCCCCCCCCCCCCCTCCCCAGGAGGGAAAAAAGAAACTCCCAGACCCTCCCGACGACGCCCCGAGGGGGAACAACAAAAAACGACACGAGGGGGAAGCAAAGAAAAAGACAAGCCCGCCCCAAGAGGCCCCCAAAGAGGCCCGCCAGAGGCCCACGATGTTCCCAAGGGGCTTCCAAGAGGCTCCCAAGAGGCCCAAGACCCTGCAAGAAGCTCCTCGTGAGAGCCCCTAGAATGTCCCCAAGGTCTTCGGGGCACGACCCAAGCGCAAAGCAAAAGCGGGATGGATCGACGGCCATTACATCTTCGCCCTCGCATTTACAGCCGCCGCGGCCCCTTGCTTTCGTCCCGATGTCCGTCTCTTGTGCCCAATGTGCTATATTCTCAGCGTCGGCGGGTTCGGCCGTAAGGCCTTTGCACAACAAAGGTCGGACAGTGCGTTGGTCCAATATAGCACGTTAACAATTGGTCCTGAGGCATGGCCACAGACTGCTTGGGGATTTCCAGCCTGAACCTCATGCGCAGTGCGCGCAGCATTCCGACATGAAATCGAGTAAGCATGTGAATCGTGTGCACGCCTGCTTCGTGAACCAGTTCATGTATGTGCATGCGCTCGTGGATATCGCTGGAGCTACACGTGAAAATCACATGTGCGTACCACTATGTACTGATACGCGTGCACTCATAGACATGGTATACTGCGATGTATGACTTATCGTACATACATACTTGCTTGAGCGTTAATCGCGAGCGTGTGCTGATATGTCTGCAACGTGTGAAAGTGTGTATATGGAAAAATGCGCCTGGACAAACTGGAGTGGATTCTTAACTTTCTTATTGAACTCGTTCGCCATGTACTTTGCGAAAGCTTGCGACATCATGTCGCCCTCGTAGACGTCCTTGGAGCAGTACTTGGGACTAGTGCACATATAAACTTTTGCGACCAATTTCGACTTCATCGTGTCATTCCACATTGCGTATGCGTAACGCATCGCGCCTTTCCCGAACGGCTTAGGCGCAATGCGCACCTCTTGCACGTCGCTGGTAATCTTTTCGATCCGCTCGCATGGGTGACCAGACTCCTTCAACACATCGACTTTGAAGGACTCCAACTGGACGGACATTTTCTCCCACCCGTACATCTGTGCCCAATCGATGTCCTTGTAGTCGAGCGGGATATCCTTGCAAGTCCCTGATGGTTTGGCCGCCCGAGCCGCATCACTGAGCACCTGCCACGAAGATTCGATGCTGCTCCAAGATGCTTTGGCAACTGACGAAGCAAACGAATTCGGACTTGCCGTCATCGGAAGGACCTTCAGAACGAAGGTCCTGTTCCTCTTGTTGTACGCACGCTCGAACACCTCGAGGGGCGACTGGCGAAAGGCACCACAGCACGGCGGCATGCGATCGCGTGGGCGACAGGCTTCCAATAGACAGCCAGACGAGAAGCCCCGATGCACAAACAAACTCGACGCCCACACCTCCATGACTTTTCTTCGTGCACGGGACTAGATCGGGTGTTGCTAGAAGTGCCCCTGGCCCAAGGTGCCCCCAGCTTCTCGCTCCACTTGTGAGCCCCTGGGGCCCTCTGGGCCTCGTGAGGGGTGCCTTGGAGGCCGTCTGGGCCACCCCGAGAATCCTGGGGTACCTTGGGCCAGGGGTACTTTAGTAATGGAAACAATTGGTTTTCAAAACGTTTGGTCTTTAGAAGCTCTGCGTGGCGACGCCCCCGTCGCCACGCGTGCCCTCTGCGCGCCTGCGGGGGCGCCGCCACGTAGAAGTACTGGAGACCGAGCATTTGGGGCGTCGCTACGCACGCCCTCTGCGTGGCTGCGACCATTTGTTAAAACCCTAAAACCAATCAAACTCACCAATAAAGTACTTCTAGCAACACCCGAACAGAGGAAGACGCAGCTCTCCCTCGCGCGGCCCCGGAAGGAAGGGCCCGGCGCCTGCTCCCGAGGCACCGCTTGGGCTCGACGTCTGCGCGCAGCCAGCCCACAAGAAACCTTCCACGAGAAGCCCAACCATTGACCCCAGGACGTCCATGGATTTTGTTTCGGGCGTGTGTGCGTGGTTGTGGTGGTGGTGGTGGTGGTGGTGGTGGTGGTGGTGGTGGTGGTGGTGGTGCGGCGCGGTGGTGGCGGGCGGATGGGCGCGCGAGAAAGAGGCCCGCGCTGGGGCGAGAACGCCATCCTGAACGACGGAGGCCAAACACCGATCCGAAAATGAGGCCCACGCTGCAGCGGGAGCACGATTCGGAACGATTCGGGAGCAGAAATGAGGCCGGCGCCTCAGCGAGAGCAACATTTTGAAAAAAAACGCAGGCGAAAACCCAACTCCCGGGAATCCTGTGTGTTAAAAAACAGTGCGCGGGGGGGGTCGACTACTTTTAGGCCGCCATCGGGGGAAGAGGGAGAGTAGTATTCATATTGAGTAATTGTGGAGGAGGGGGAGGAGGAGGAGGAGGAGGAGGAGGGGGAGGAGGAGGAGGAGGAGGAGGAGGAGGAGGAGGAGGAGGAGGAGGAGGGCCTGCCAAATCATGTGCGTCCAAGGGGGGCGCCGTCACGGGGCCTCTGCAGGCGGTGTCAGGGAGCAAGCGGCCTCACCTCTTGACTGGGGGGTGCTCCAATGAAGCCAGCGTCCACGCACGAGGAGGAGGAGGAGGCGGAGGAGGAGGAGAAAGAGGGATAGCCCAAACAGTCTCGTGGAAAAACAGCGCCGCACGCAACCTCATGCCAGTCTGCGTTGCCATCAGGCAACCCAACACCGTCCTCGAACATCCGTGCTGTTGAAGCGGAGATCTCCAAGCATATGAACTTGATTTCCAAGTTCAGAAAACGCTTCATAATGTCCTCGATCTTCCACTGGTCCTTCGTGTTTCTGTGATCGTCATAAGTGAAGATCTCGGCACCGTCTTCCGTAAACTTTTCTCCCTCGCCATAGGAATGGAACCGAGAACCTCAGGAAGGCAAAACATACCCGCTGGCAATTTACATCTTTTTCAGATCCCCCTCTCCTTACAACAAGTGGTCCCGAGATCGTATTCAGGCCATCATGGGGCGCCCAAGAGCCCCCGAAAAAAAACGCATGCGAAACGTATATTGTTCCCATCGAACACCCAGAAGAGTATCAAAAGAGTGTCGAAACAGTCTCCCAGGGCCCGACACGTGAAAACCCCCGAGTTTCGGTACTTTGTTGGTGCTCGAAATTCTTCCTGGTGATCAAGGCTAAAGTAGGTTGAACATCATAATGCGAGGCCCCTAATAAGGTCTTCAGATGCTCCAGCAAGCTCTCAAGAGGCCCCAGGGAGGGCTTAAGAGGCCCGAATAATCGCTTAGGAAGCCCCACGCGGCTCGTAAGAGGTCTCGTGAAGCGCTTAAGAGGCCCCAGGGATTTCTCTAGAGACTCCAAGAATCGGGGATGGACAGAACCCCCTTTGGTAAAACGTGGTTTAGTGAAAACGACCTCGGGCCCAAACCTGGCGGGCGCAAGCCTGGAAAATGACGGCCGCGGCGCCCTCTCGGGAACCGAAAACGGACAACTCACTAGTCGAGGTGTCAGGGCGTGGGTTCTGTCCACCCCCAAGAGGAGCCCTTAAGACGCCCAAGGGGGTCTCCCGCGGCCCCAAGAAAGCTCTTCAGATACCCGAGAAGGGCCCAATGGCATTCAGAGGCGCGCCTTTGCGGCTGTGTGGGGGGCCCCAGGGCTCTGTCTGCCTGGAGTCAGACTCCTCTCGGGATCCACTCAAGGGGGGGTGACCCTGCTGAGGGGGCGCATGAGTTCGATCCGTGGGTGCACCGAACTGCCGCAAGCAGATGCCCCCCGCATGCCCCGCTTTTCGGCAACCATCGGGAGCTGCCGGCGGCTGTCTGTTTTGGGCGGTTCGGTGTCAAAGCGATCGAACTCACACACACCCCGGGGCACACACACCCCTTTGCGGGATCCCGATCTTTCCTTCGCCGCACTTGGCGAGTTATTTACTCCGGAGCACACCGGGACATACAGAAACCCACTGGGCCACAGAGAAACCCATCTGGCCACAGAAAAGCCTTCTGTCGGGGACGGGGGGAGGTTCCCAACCCCTCCCTTCTTCAAAGAGGGGGGAGGGGGGTGGGCAGGGGAAAATACCCCCTTGAACAAGGGATAAAAGGGATGGGCTCGTTAATGCCACCCTAGGGGTCTTCCTTTGGCGCTCTTCCGTAATGACGAGGATGACGTCGACGAAGAGTGAGAGGGAGCGACATAGAGTAGGAGTGGATGGGTTAGGGGGGGAATAGGCGGAGCAGCGATGGTGACAGCAGCCGCAGAACATCGCGTGGGCGGGGAGGAAGAGGAGCAGCAGCAGGATGGAGAGGGGGCGTAGCGGGGAGGAGAAGGAAAATCAGGAAGAAGGAGATGCAGGAGATGGACAAGGATTGGAGGGGAGGGGAGGGGAGGGTAGTGAACATTCTGAGGTACGCCACCTGGCTCAGGCGGAACATGGTCTCTGAGCATCAGGGGGGAGAGTAAAAGGAGCAGGGGGAATGGAGAGAGAAGGGGATAAGGAGGGGGAGGAGGAGGAGGAGCAGGAGCACGAGGAAGGAGGAGAGGGAAACGAGGATGGGGACGATGATGGGGAGGAGGGGAAGGACAAGGAGTGGGAGGGAGAGGAGGAGGAGGAGGAAGAGGAGGAGGAGGAGGAGGAGGGGGAGGAGGAGGACGAGGAGGAGGAGGAGGAGACAGTGGCTCCAGGGTGCCCCACCATAGGGCGAGCGCTGCGCGCAAGCAAGAACGTCCCTGTGCCGACGAGGGGTACCGTCGGGGCGTTGACCTAAGGAACCCTAAATAAGGAACGAGGCCCCTTTTTTCCATAAGTTGAACTTCGCCACGAGGCATCCAAGCGGCCCCTAAGAGCTTCCCAAGAGGCCCACAAACTACCCCCAAGAGGCCCCCAAGAGCGCTCGTCGTCGTCGTTGTCGTCGTCGTCGCCATTCAGGGTCGGCGGCACCGGCCGTAAGGCCTTCGCAATAAGGAACGAGGCTCCTTTTTTCCATAAGTTGAACTTCGCTTTCCTATCGAGAACCTGAGGGAAATCCAGGGCAAGCTGTGAAACACTTTGAGGAACACGGAGCCCCTCCCCAACGGAAAAGGGCTTCTCCAGGGCCCCGACTGTATCACCCCCGGCAATGCAGCGCTGGACCCTGGTCGCAGCGGGCTTGAATGATAAAAATAAATTGCGAAACGCTCAACCTCCCCTCAGCCGTTTGACAGAGTTTGGCGTTCTCGCCGTTTTAACTTGCCGACGCTCCAAGACGGCCCCAAATGCCCCCAAGATTGTCCCAAGATAGCCCACGAAGCCTCAAGAGAGCCCCGAAATGACCCAAGAGAGCCTCAAGACCGCCCAAGATGCCTCCAAGATGGCCCCAGAGGCTCCGCAAACGGCTCCAACAGGGTGCCCAGACGGGGGGCCCGACGAGCCCCAACACGACCCCCCCCCACACGAGACCCAAAGATACCCCCAAGAGGCCCCCCCCGCCACATTAGAGAACGCATGGGTCGCCCTCCAGGGTCGGCGGCACCGGCCGTAAGGCCTTCGCAATAAATTGCGAAACGCTCAACCTTCCCTCAGCCGTGACGAATGAAAAACCTGACTAGCACTAGATCGCCCCCCTGGAACGATAAATAACGATTCCAACGGCGCCACGCGAGGGGGGATTCTGGAACAATAACAACCCAACTTCAAACACAACACCCCACTTCGGCGATGAATAAAGCTTTTGACGCATTGCGAAATCATCTTATGAGCAAATCACTCTGGCTCGGCACGACACAAGTCGTTGGACAAGGGCCCAAACCACCCTAGAGGCCATAATATTCCCGAAAGGCCCCCCACATGCCCCCAAGATGGCCCCATAAGGCCCCCAAAGGCCCCCAAGAGGGCCCCAAAAGGCCCCCGACATGGCCCCATAAGGCCCCAAGAAGCCCACCTTAAGGCCCCCATCAGCACGCATACAGGCCCCGAAGCCCCCAAGAGCGTCTGGGAAACCATTGAAGCCATATGGCGCCTTCTTGGGGGAATATCGCGGCCCCTTGGGGCCATCATGGGGCCTCCAATGCCGCACTTTGACGATTTTGGTGTCCTTTTCTGGCCGTCTTGGGACCCCCCGGCCCCCGCTTCCACTATTCATGGGGCCTGCCGAAACTGTAGCTTTTTGGAATGTCCCCTGAATAGTGGAACCCCCAAAACAGCAAATTTTCTGAACGTCCCTCCGGGCGGGCCTGGGGTGGCTTTTTCGTGCGCAGGCCAATAAAAACAAGCCGCGGCGACGCGCCAAAAAGTGTTCAAAACAGGGGGCGAAAGCGGCGGGTCCACCGACATCTTAGAAAATTGTGATTTCCATTACTTTTTCTGAAATAATTTTGGGGGCTTCCTGGGGGCCTCTTGGGCGCTCTTGGGGGCCCTTCAGGGCCTCTTGGGGGCCTCTTGGGAGCCTTTGGGGGCCACCAAAAGCTCCCAGAGGGGTCAAAGAAAAAACAGAAAATCTTGGGGCTCTCTTGGGGGCCTCTTGGGGCGCTCTTGGGGGCGTCTTGGGGCGCTCTTGGGGGCCTTTGGGAGCCTCTGGGGGCCGCTTGGAACCGTGCGAGCAGCAGCAGCAGCATGGAGCAGCAGCAGCATGCAGCAGCAGCAGCAGCAGCAGCAGCAGCAGCAGCAGCAACAACAGCAGCAGCAGCAGAAGCCGACAACTGACACATCGCGCGGAGGCAGACCCCCCACTTGGGAGAAATGACGGGGGCCCGATCGAAATTGACCCCCCTGGAACGATGAATAACGGCAGAAACGCTCCACCACTAACACCCCCCCCCGTTGACGACTGAACCGGCTCGAATGCACTTACCGGGTCAACTCTTCATAACCAGGGGTGATCGAAGGGTTGCGGGGGAAACGGCACGATGAGCGGTTCGGAGGGAAGATGGCCATCGAACTTTCCTGTGTGCGCGCCGAGACATGGGACGCGGCACTTTCCCACATGGCGCATGATGCGAATTGGGACCAAAGAACCATGATTCGGCGTTCCGCTGATAAGGTACAGCATGCGCACCTTGCTTGTCCAATCAAGCTTCGTCGCCGCCTCGAGACCACCAACGACATCCTCACACCAGTCGCCACCGCCCTTCGCTTCGATTGAGCCAAGGAATCGCCTGCAATGTTCAACATCTGTGTTGAAATCCATCACGACTAGATGGCCATCATCGTCGTAGTCGCGGTACCCAACGAAGCCGAATCGCGTGGAGGTTCCAGGACCCATCATGCGCAGGATGCAGTGGCTGATGTCGACGATCTTCTGGCGCACGTTGTTAAGGTAGGGGTCCATGGACTGAGTGATATCGACCACGAAGCATACATCCACAGTCTTCATCTTAGCAGCACGGTCTGACGCCGATGCAAGCGATGAGCGGAGCTTGAGTGACGAATCAAGCTGGCGTTCAGCGCTTCTTCGCTTCTCTTCTGCCCGTAGTTGCTGCTGCCGTGCATGCTGCTCAGCCTTCTCGGCCTTAGCGAGCCGCTCTTGCATAGCGGCGAGCTTTTTCATCATATCAGAAGTGGAGACCCCCCCTGACTCCATGGCTCGGGACAGACGTGCAATGATCTATCGCAGATGTCTTCCCACAGAGCCAAGGCTTGAGCCCCGGCAGCAGAGAAAGCGGCAATAGATTAGCAGTCGTTCTCTGGGTCTCGAACAAGGTTATCTCTTTCGCACTTTCTCTTCAACGGCATCGAATCCTCCTCAGCACCCTTCTCCCCCTCTCCATTCTGCACATCTGCGGGTTTGACATAGGAACGCGGTCATTACTTCTGCGAGGGAGACGCCATATATCAAAGCCGGTTGCGTGCTCAGCTCTGCCCTGCGGTGTGGCCGCGTCATGCCAGACAGTCTCAAGTGCAGGTCCCAGCACGTGCCACGAGCATTTCGGGACAAAAGCTCGACATTCCCTGTCCATCTGGGCCAGAAGATGCCTGACCCGGTGTGCCCGTTGCCGTTGCCGTGGGCCCGAAGTTTGGGTCGTCCGTGCCCCCTTGGTGTAACAGCTTGTTGGTACATGTGCCCAACAAGCCGGCCGATGCGCGTACCCTCCCTCCTCCTCCCTCCCCCGCCTCCTCCCTCATCCCCACCCCTCCCTCTTCGTCTTCCCTCCTGCCATCTGCCTCCCTCCCTCATCCTTGTTCCCTCCTTACCCGCGCTACTCCCCTCTCCATCCTTCTCCTCCTCCTGCTCCCCCCCCATCCCTCCTCCCCCCCTCCTCCTCCTCCTCCTCCTCCTCCTCCTCCTCCTCCTCCTCCTCCTCCTCCTCCTCCTCCTCCTCCTCCTCCTCCTCCTCATCCTCCTCTTCCATCATCTCTCCCCTCCCTTCTTTGCCACACAATGCTTGCATTTAGGGGTCATTGCTTCGGGCCTGGGTGTCGATTTGGCCGGCCTGTTGTCGCAGTCGCCGCTCGTCGCTGCCGTCCGTCGCCGCTGCCTTTGGGCCTGGGTGCCGGTCTTCGCGCTTGTTGTGGCCGTTGCCGCCGTCCGTCGCCGCTCCATTTCGCCTGGGCTTTGGTCGCCGCATGTTTTGTCGCCGTCGCCACACGTCGCTGCCGCCCCGTTACACCCACCCGTTGCGTTGCAATCGATTGCAATCGATTGCGCCACATGGATTGCACCACGTGGGTAGCTCCACATTAGATTGCACCACATAGCTTACACCAATTGGACAGGACCAAATATATTCTCCCCTCTAAAAAGAAAACAGACTCTACGCCCCCCGGCGTTATCCGATCCCCTTTCGGGTATGTAAACCAAGTATGATTCTGACCACATGTCCAACCTAATTATGAATTTACACTATCCCCGGGGGGCCGGGCTCCCCCCCCTCCCTGAGGTTTCTTTGTGAAAAACACTATGCGGCGACATTTTTTGTTCCAACATAACACTGTTTCGCGAATCCTACGCAAAAAAAAAACGAAGTGCGCACGCGCGCATCGTCTCGCGCGCATGCCGAAATCCTTCAAAAATCCTTGGTTTCGGAAGGATTTCGCAATCGAGTTCCCCAAAAACATACAAAAACACTGGTTTCACAACACTGATTTGCTAATCAAGCTTACGCGCGAGCTCTTGCGAAATCAAGAGAAAAACAAGAAGGTTTTTCAACATGTTCATAAAGTGCTACCAAACGGGTTTCGCGCGCGAGCGCGTGTCGAAATCAGTCGAACGCTCTTGCGCGTGTGCCGTCGCGAGTTTTTTTTTCAAAAATGGGACAAAATGCGGACGCGTGCGTCGTCCCGCGCGTATGCCCAACACCTTCAAAACCCATCGGTTTCAGAAGGATTTCAAAATCGTGTCCAAAAGCCCTACAACAACACAAGGTTTCGCAACACGGATTTTCAACAAAAGCGTGCGCGCGCGCTCTTGCGTCGTCGTCGTCGTCGTCGTCGCCGTCCTCCCTTCTCCCGCGTCGTCGTCGTCGTTGCCTACGTCGTCCTCTGTCATTCCTCGTGTTCGTCGTCGTCGTCCTCTTTGGCGTCGTGGTCGTTTCCGTCGTCGTTGTCGCCGTTGTTCTTCCTCCTCCTCCCTCGTCGTCGTCGTCCGTCGTCGGCGTCTCGTCGTCGTCCCTCCTATTTCGTCGCCGTCGTCGTCGTCGACGTCGTCGTCTTCCCGTCTCCCTCGTCGTTGTCCTCGTCGGCGTCGCCGTCCTCCTTCTTCGTCGTTCGCAACGTCGCCGTCCTCCCTCGTCGTTGTCGTCGTTGTCGCCGTTGTCGTCATCCCTCCTCCCTCGTTGTCGTTTTCGTTGGCGACGTCGTCGTCGTCTTCGTCGTCGTCGTTGGCGTCGGCGTCGTTTTCGTCGTCGTCGACGTCGGCATCGTCGTCGTCGGAGTATCGTCGATATGCTCACTTTCAACATCGAGCCACTGTGACGAGCATTGGCAGCAAGGATGTTATCATCGATGTCGTCATCGGTGGCGCCGCCGTCCCCCGCATCATGTGTGTTGCCAGACATGTTGCAGGTGGGACGGTGGGATGCTTCCGCGAAGAGTGGAGGTGGTCAAGCGCGGTGCAGGGTAGTCAATTACACCACGTAGCTTTCACCACATACATGACAACAAATACGTTGCACCTCATCGCTTACACCAGCCGAATTGGATTGCATATATATATATATATATATGTATACATACATATATATATATGTATATATATATATATGTAAATACTGCGCCACTTAGACTGCACACCACTTAGATTTCGCACCACGTACATTGCACCATATAGCTTACACCATGCGTGTGTATATATATATATATAGGTTACCTCATGTTTCCCTTCCGCTTCTCTCCGATGGAAGATGACGCATTATTTTTCATGGGGCCATCTTGCAAAGATCTCTGGCAAATCTTCATTTAATGCAGGTCTGGCGGGATCTCGACCTCCGGAGACCCGCCGACCCCTCCGGCTTTATTTTGCCGGACGGGCGGGCGGGGCAAATACTCCTGGAACTGGGCGGCACAGTGCTCTCCTGCCCCCCCAGCTCTCGATCCGAATGTTTACAGACGCAACTGATTGCTGCCCTCTAGGATCCAACTTGCTGACCGAAACTGGCACAAGTATTCACCCTGCGCACCCGACACCAGGGCGGACGCCTTCTCAAGGCGCGCGTCGGACAGTGTCTGCGGCCCAAATTCCCAAACATTGCGCCAGCTGAATGGCCGACCTGCCGCGCGCGGTGGACACGAGTATCTCCAGAGGTGCATCCGAGTCCAGGTGCTGACCGGAACGGGACGGCACAAGCATCCGCACTGCGCACCCGACACCAAGGCAGACGCTTTCTCAAGGCGCGCGTCGGACACTGTCAGCGGCCCACATATCCCAAACGTTGCACCAGCTGAGTGGCTGACCTGCCGCACGCGGTGGATACAAGCAGCGCCTTCCCGAAGCGCTCATCGAGACTATTCGTGGTCCAGTTCCCAAAACAGCGCAGCACCCTCGCTCAACGGACGGAAATGGCATGCGCGCGCTTGCGCACGTATGTTCGCAGGATGACATAAAACAGAATCTGCTTCGCAGATGAAGTGCTCACGCGTTGCCAGATGTTTCCCTTCCGCCCCTCTCCGATGGAAGATGATGCACTATTTTTCATCGGGTCATTTTGCGATGATCTCTGGCAAATCTTCATCCAATGCACGCTTGGCGGGATCTCGACCTCCGGAGACCCGCCGACCCCCCCGTGCACTCAGCCGTCTCCGCACGAGTCTCCTAGCGAAACTTGGCGGCGGCACTCTCCGCACCTGGGCTCCCAAGGCGACGGGCAAATAATCGAACTTGCCCCGACTCGGCCCATCGGAACAATTGCTCGCTGATGGCACTCGGCTGAAATATGCGCGGCTTCCGGCGTGCTTCTCAGCGCGCAAACTCGCCCAGAAGCCACGCGCCTGCTCGCGACGGGCTGCATCCTTTGATCAACCCGAAGCGGGCGCTGTCATCGTCGACGAATCCCAGCGCGCTCCTGCCAGGATGCTTCTCGAAGACGCTGGCCCACTTGATCCTCGCAGCCAACATGGGCAAAATCTCGAGCTGGCCGATCAGCTGTTCGCGCCCAAGTCTCGCGAGCCAGCTGCTCCATCAAGACGCGCGGGATGTCGCGCCCGAAGGCCTCCGCCAACTTTGACGCGGGATCGACCGGGGCTGCCCCGACGCTCCCGAGAACGTCTCCGCCCACCAGTTCGAGCGCACCGTCCGCGAACAGGACCAGCGGGGGATGGGGCCCCAAAGAGGCGCACGCTGCGCGGCTCGGCAGCCGCCAGATACTCCAGCCACCAGCGGAGAACTCCGTCGAGCACGCCGCCCACGCCTCTCCCTGGGGCCTCACCGCCCGCTCTCCGCTGGAAGTGCCGCAACCCAGCCGCGCCGCAGCGGCCGAATATCTGCGACAATGCGAACTGCCGCATGCCCGCGAGTCGCGCTGTCTCCGCTGCGGGAGGGCAGCGTGTCCGGAGGACGTCCTGCATCAGCTCCGCGAAGGGCCCCCTCCTCTGGGCGGCGATCGACGCAGCGAGCTCGCCGCGAGTCATCGCATGGCCGAGGTCGAAAAATACTCCCAGGGCAGGAAAGCGCACGGCGAACTTGTGGGCCCCGGCCTCTTTCAACCTCCATCCGAGCGCGCCGGTGCAAGCCCGGGGCGCCTCCTCCATCCACTCGGCGATGACCCTCGGCACCGCGAGCGGGAAGTCATCTAGGTCATTGGTGATCGGCGCGCTGCAAGACCTGATGGCACAAATCTCGAGGGCTGCCGCGGCTCGACTGACCCCCTGCACCGAAGCCTGGGCTCCGAAGGGCAAGGCGCGCGCAACGAAATAGAGCGCTTCGCCCGGGCGCTGGGGGCCCGCGCAAGCAAGCACGGCGCAGTCGGAATCGACAGGCGCAACGGCCAGCTGCTTGCACGCCTCCTCAAAGTCGAAACATTCTCCGACCAAAACGTCGTCTTTCCACAAGCGGCGCCCGCGCAACGCCCGACCCGACTGCAGAATCCAAGTCACGTCCTCTGGCCCAGCCATGAGGCGCGCCCACAGTTTGGCGACCGACGCCGCCCCGTCGACCCCGTTCCCAGGAGATCTCGCCCCGGACGGTGGCGACGCCGTTTACAAAGGACGCCGCGAGGTCGTCGATGGGTCGCACCTTCTCGCCCTGGACCACGCCGAATCGGCGGCTTGGGACCCGCCGGCAGCCGAGAATCTCATCCAGTTGGCCATGTAAGAACGGCCCACTAGCGAGGCCCCGCTGCACCTCGACGCGAACTCATTTTAAAGACCTCTGCGTCGATCCGGCGGTCGGCGGCGCGGCGCTGGTCTGCTGCCGCAGCCTCGAAGGGGGCCCTGACTGCCGGCGCCCGCCCCCGCAGCCGCAGCTTTGGCCGGCCCTCCTCGCCCTTGTCAGGGGGCTTGGGGGGGGGGCCCGCAGCGGCCGAAGTCCCCGACGAGCCCGGGGCCGGTCGCCGCGTCGCTCGCGACGCCCGCCCCGCGTCGGCGCGGCCCAGGGACTGGAGCATCAGCTTAAAGACCAACGCGCTCTTGCCGCCCAGCACGCACTGCACCCTGGGGCGCATTTGCTCGCGCAGGCGACGCTCGGCATCGTGGGGAAATGCCGATTGACCCTGCCGCTGCGCCTTCGTCGCGTCGAGCATCGCCTTGATGTTGCCGAGCGGCGCGGTCGAGAGTTCGAAGACGGCCGCGGCCGCGTCGCCGTCTACGGCGGGGGGGGCGTCGAACGGGTGCTCGGCGAGCAGGGCGAGGTCCAAAAACTCCCGGGGCGCCCGCGGCACGCCAGAGTTCAGCCCGCCACGCCCCCCCGCCAGACGCTTCGCTGAACGAAAAAGAACGGGCCCAGCAGGCGCGACGGCGCCGTCGTGGAGCTCCAATGCGTGGGCGATGGGCTCTCGCAGTCGAACATCGTCCTCAGTGGGCCCGCTCGCGGGAATGCTTATCTTGAGCTCTGGGGCGACGTCGTGGCCGAGCTTGGACCTCTGGCGGCCGATAGGCACCCGGGGCGGATGGGCAGGCAGACTCCGAGGAGTCGCGCCCGCGCCCGGGCCCAAGTTGCGCCCATCTTCCACGGCCCCCCTTTTGGCTGACAGCGCCTCGTTGTGCTTGCTGGCAAGGTGGCACAAACCCTCGTCGAAAACGTTGGCAACGACGCTGCGCACGATGCCCGGGCGCTCGCGCTCTGCGACCGACGCCGCGCCCCAGCGGCTGCGAAAGCATGATCCCCGAGAGCTGCGGGCGTGACTCCTGTCGCAGGTCGCACGCGTGGCGTCGGCCAACCACCGCGAGCCGGTGGGGATCTCGGTGCTCTCGTCCCGCGTCCCACCGCACATGCACTGCTGGATGATCACCTCGTGGGCGCCCGGCAGCACCGCGGGCCTCTCCGGAGATGGGCGTTTCAAAAGCCAGCTGCTGGCGGGGCCCCCAATGGCCCGCAAATTGCCGCCCACGCGCAGCGTTGCGGCGGACTCGGCCGCAACCTCCGCGAGCTGGTTATCTTTCGCGACTTTGGCGGCATCCGCTGTGGACAAGCTGGGGGTTCCGAGCGGGTTGCGGCCATCGCGGACTGGTCGCGGGGCAGGGCGGCTCTCCTTCCGCAGTCGCATGGGGATTGGTGTCTCCTTGGCTCGGCAGAAGGTCTCGCCCGGCGGCGCAAACCGCGCTGCCTCGACGTCTGGATCGCCGAAGATGCGGTGGAGCGTTTGGCGGCCAGCTCTGATCGTGAGATCCAGCTTGAGAGTGGGAGCTGCCGGGCGGTGCCGGTTGTTTGCCCAGTCGATGGAGAAAACTGTGCACCCGTGCCGCATCATCTCATTCGAAAGCTTAGCGCTGCCAGCGGACACCTCCACGAATTTGAATTGGTTATTGCTCCGATCTCTGTCCGCGCCAGATGCGGGATTGCCTGCTGCGCTAGAGACAGCGGCGCCTCCGCGGCGCTCCACGCCGCCGACGCTGTCAGCCCAGGCAGGATGCGCTTCTATCAACGCGTCGGCGTGGCACCTGCACCAGGTCGCACAGTGGCACACCAGGCGTTTCCCCCCGAGCTCTGGCAGGCGCCTCAGCATCTCGTCACTATTGTAGAAATACTCTGCAAACTTGTCGATGGCCGCTTCGCGCGGCATCTCCTTGGAAATCTTGAACGGATTGGCCAAGAATGAACGATTGGCCGACAATCGGCTGCAACCCCAGCCGACATAGACGTCGTCCGGCCTAAGGGCCGCAGCTTCACTCGCGCATCCCCGGGTGGGCAACGGGGGCGCGCACGGCCCAGCGCCCCTGGGGGGCGCCGAGGGGCCCGCTGGGGGCCCTCACATTGGGCACTCGGAGATGGGGTGGTCGCCCCGGCACCCCTTCTTGCAGCGCACGTGCACACCGCGGGGGCACCTCCCGTTGCGCACCTGCTCGCGGCAACGCCCGCTGTTGCACCCGTGGCAGATCGGCGTCTGGTTGTCTGGGACCATGGGGGCGCCGCCCTGATCGAGAAGCTCCTTCGGCATGGCGGGCGTCCATTTCTTGTTCCTGTTATTTCCCTTGCGGGGCTCCGCGGCCGGCGGCGGCGGTGGGAGGGCGCCGCCCTTCCCGCCCTTCCTGCGTTTGCTGGCGTTGTCGTCGCCCTGGTGGTGGCCGCGCCCTGCTCCAGCCCCGACCGCCTCCGGCTTGCGTTTGCTGCCTGCGCCCGCCCTTGCGAGGGGCATCAACAGCATGTTCGCCTCCACGGAGTCAAGGATCTTCTGGATGTGGCTGTCCGTCGGCACCTGGTCCCGCACGGTCAGCGGCCTGACTCCGCCAGCGCAAAGCCTGTTTCCTCCACACCTCCTTGTCCGCGCTGCGGTGTGTCCAGCGTCGGCAGCTCGCACCTGTCGTCGGGGACCTCCCGCGTCAGGGCTGAGAACAGCTTGTTGCGCAAGAATTCGTGGCCCTCGAAAGTCATGAGTCCGGCCAACTCCATGGCCAAACCCCTCCGCTGGAACGCCCACGACACCTTGAGGGCGGAACTGACGTCGGCCATGATGGGGTCTTTGACGCTTCTTTCGCGCACCATGCCTGAACATCCGGGAGCCACTTCTTCCTCCCAGGCTGCGTCGTGAGCTCTTGGTCGCGTTTGGACGCCCCCTCCCAGGGCACCCACTGCAAGGTGTTGTCCTCCACCGTCTGGACGAAGCGATCCACGAGGACGTTCGACGGGTCAAGCTCGCCCTCCATCTTCAGGCCGGGGTCCAGGCGTTTCCACAGCGTCTCCTTCCTCGCCTCGCGCTCTGCCTGCGGGACCTTGCGGGGGGCGTCCTGGTCCGTGCGTTCTTTCCTGTGCCGTAGCTCGGACACGGACAACGCGTGGCTCTCGAAAAACAGCCTCCGCACGGCCGCGGTCCTTGGCGGTAGCGGGTCTTCGGGGCCGATCTCGAAGAGCGGCCTGACGATGGCTGCTTCGAACCGCGTGTCTTCCACGACACCGCCAGGCCCGCTGGACATGCCAAGCGCGAAGTTGCCGTGGGAGGCCCACCCGAGGTTGACGAACCGCTGGAAGAGGTCGCTCAATCCGAGCTCTTCGAGCCTCTGCTGGAACACGGCCTGGGAGTCCACGACGCCGTGCTGCATGCTGGACGCGGTGGACAAAGACAGGAGGCGGAAACAGCGCGATCAAGCCGTCAGGCTTGAGACTGGTAAGTTTGGACCTGAGCCTAAACGGCTACGGAGGGGGTGGGGGGGGCAATCGACCTTCGGCGACCGCGGGCACTCCGCCCGACAAGGAGCCTTCTGCTTGCAAATGGATAGCCACTCACCTTCCAACGACTCGGGCACTCCGCCCGGCAAAAAAAAACATCCGCCCCCATGGAGGCGGAGTCTTTCGGGCAACGCGGGCACTCCGCCCGGTGAGGCGCTGGTGCACTCCGCACCCCACACAGGTGGCCATCCGCCCTACGGGTGATCTGGATCTCAGAACGAAGAGGATCTTAGAAGTGGTTCCTCCTCCTGCTCATCCCCCTCCTCCTGGGGCCAGGATCATGCGCGACAAAGGTTAGGATGACGTGAACTCTAAAAAAAACCAATGCGTCGGGACCCTTTTTAACAGCGATTGGTTTTACAAACGTTGTCCTTCAATTTCGGGAACAGCAGCCAAAACAAACAAATGCTCCTCCTGTGATGTCAATATGCACGAACATATTCGGAATTACGATATATACATAAATACACACCGAGGTGCGACGAGGAGCATGACAAACTCGAAACGACCGCGCAGCAAAACAATACACGCATGCTCTCTTGCGCCGGCATCCTCTCGTTGCGAACTGGGCACACGGGCATGTCATGAGAATCTCATGTCTGCGCGCCAGCTGTCCACCCTCTGGCGCCGGCAGTGTCTCGCGGCGAAAGCCATCGGCCATTGCCCTGCGGCCCCTGCAGTTGCGGACGAGAAAGGTAAGACCGTTCGGCCCCCTGCATTGTAATATATGTACTAGAACCACGCGCGCGCTTCGCGCGCGCTTAGGTTCTGTCGAGTCACAGACCCAGGAATCGTTGTGAGAAGAAATTGGTGACGCGAAACGTCGTGGGGGCGTCCTTGGACGTCTGGGGTCTCCTGGGGCCTCTTGAGGGGCCTCCTGGGGGCCTCCTGGCGGCCTCTTGGGGCGGAAGGCTCGAGCTTGCGGTTCGTGGTCCCCCTCTGGGCCCCCTCTTGGGCCCGTCTTGGGGCCCTCTTGGGCCATCTTGGGCGCCTCTTGGGCCGTCTTGGGGCCCTCTTGGGCTGTCCTGGGGCCCTCTTGGAAGCTTCTTGGGCCGTCTTGGGGCGGTCTTGGGCGCCTCTTGGGCCGTCCTGTAACGTCGGAAAACCCAAAAGACAACTTTGTTGAAAATGTACGTTTTACGAAGGGAATGGGCCAATTTTTGCGTCTAGGGGCCCTCTTGGGACGCATGTTGGAGGCTTCTTGGGGCCTCTTGGGGGCGTCCTTGGACGTCTGGGGTCTCCTGGGGCCTCTTGAGGGGCCTCCTGGGGGCCTCCTGGCGGCCTCTTGGGGCGGAAGGCTCGAGCTTGCGGTTCGTGGTCCCCCTCTGGGCCCCCTCTTGGGCCCGTCTTGGGGCCCTCTTGGGCCATCTTGGGCGCCTCTTGGGCCGTCTTGGGGCCCTCTTGGGCTGTCCTGGGGCCCTCTGGGAAGCTTCTTGGGCCGTCTTGGGGCGGTCTTGGGCGCCTCTTGGGCCGTCCTGTAACGTCGGAAAGCCCAAAAGGCGACTTTGTTAAAAATGTACGTTTTACGAAGGGAATGGGCCAATTTTTGCGTCTAGGGGCCCTCTTGGGACGCATGTTGGAGGCTTCTTGGAGCCTCTTGGGGGCGTCCTTGGACGTCTGGGGTCTCCTGGGGCCTCTTGAGGGGCCTCCTGGGGGCCTCCTGGCGGCCTCTTGGGGCGGAAGGCTCGAGCTTGCGGTTCGTGGTCCCCCTCTGGGCCCCCTCTTGGGCCCGTCTTGGGGCCCTCTTGGGCCATCTTGGGCGCCTCTTGGGCCGTCTTGGGGCCCTCTTGGGCTGTCCTGGGGCCCTCTTGGAAGCTTCTTGGGCCGTCTTGGGGCGGTCTTGGGCGCCTCTTGGGCCGTCCTGTAACGTCGGAAAACCCAAAAGACAACTTTGTTGAAAATGTACGTTTTACGAAGGGAATGGGCCAATTTTTGCGTCTAGGGGCCCTCTTGGGACGCATGTTGGAGGCTTCTTGGGGCCTCTTGGGGGCGTCCTTGGACGTCTGGAGGCCATCTTCAGCATCTCGGAGCCCTCTTGGAGGCCTCTTGGAAGTTTCTTGGGCCGTCTTGGGCGCTTCTTGGGCCGTCTTGTCTGACTGGGGAGGCCTCCGGCAAGCCCCGACGAGCCTCCGGGCCCCCCGGGGCGCACATTTGTGGTCGGGGTCCCGGCCCCGGGCCCCCGGACCCGGTGCGCCGTTATATGTATATACGATATACAAATCAAATATTGATGTCGTGCTCCTCCTCCTCGTTACCCTCAACGTATGGTTTTTTCACGGGCGCCCTCTTACAGGGCGTTGGCATGGGCACTCCGCCCGCCGCACTGCGCCCGCCATGGCTACCGCCCAAGCAAAGGTTTTCACCATTGCCACGGGCCCAGTGTCGGGAACTCCTCCCGAGCGCGAGCCTCCGCTCACTTCTCCATTGCTCCTTGCTGGAGCAAATGAAGCGCACCGCTGCCGTAGCTCGCGGGCACTCCGTCCGCCAAGGCCTGGGCACCCCGCCCGCCATGGTTACCGCCCAGGCAGGGTATCACCACCCCTGCCAGAAGCTCAGGTCGGGAGCTCCTCCCGACGGCGCGCCTCCGCGCACTGCGGCCACTGCTCCTCTCCGGAGCAAGTTAATCTCACCGCCGCTCTACCTCGCGGGCACTCCGCCCGACGGCAAACCTCGGACCAAGGATGGGCTGGCATCGCCCGGACAGCGTTCACAGTCGCCGCGTTGTTTTCAACAGACCTGAACTCACACGCGCCGCGCGGGGCGCTCCGCCGCTCCGACGCACTGCTTGCGCAGCGGCTGGACAGAGGCGCCGCCAGGCACGGACGCCTCGCTGACCTTCTGGCCGCACGCGAATCGACCGCCCAGCACAGGCTCGCTCAGAGGCAGGAGGTGGCGGACGTGAGACTTTGGGTTGAAATACGCGTCGTAGCCCGTGGGGACAACCGCGGAAAACCCGAGAGTTTCCTCCAGGTCGTTGCCCACTGTCTCTGCGGCCGCCAACGCCTCGTGCTCCTCCGCCTCGTCAGAATTCCTGGTGCTCTCGCCGTCACTGCCCTCGATCTCGGAGTCCGCGCTGGCGACATCGACCCCTTCTTCTGGGGCGTTGCGCCGTTCGCCCTGTTCAGCTGAGGGCGCGCCGACCGTATCGCCCGACGGCGTCGGGGTCGCGGGGGGCCCGCTCTCGCGCCACCTCCCCGAGCGAGTCGCACGCCTTTGAGCTCTCGCAGAGGCCCAGCCATGGCGTCGCGAGAATACTCAATGACCGACTTGTCTCCTGGCTTTACGTGCCCGCCCAACATGCGCCTGACGGCAGCAGGGGCGCTCCAGCTCTTGCCATCCAAGACAGCATAGTGGCCTGGCAAGAATGCGACGTGTAATGCTCCACTTCTGCCGGCTCCGCCCCAGCGAGAATGAGGCTTCCACGGAGCCTGGCCGTGATCTGCGGGGCAGACGCCGGCACGTCGTGGACGAGCACGCCGCCAGCGGACTCAGCTGGCATCAGGCACTGGCCCTCGCTGGCGCGCGCGCCCGCTACCCTCCGCACGCGGAGCCACGCCTCTGCCCACGTCTCGATCGCGTCGTCCGCGAGCCCTTCTCTTCGATCCCGACCACCGAAAGCCAGGGCCTGGCCCTCTTGAGCCCTCTGGAAATCCTGGCGGGGGCAGCACGCACTTCTATGAAACCGTGGCCCGCTGACCTATCGACGTACGGTTCTTCCTCTACCTTGGCCAAATCCCGCGCCCTTGAACGGCTGTGAACAAGGTGGCACAAGAAACCGGCCTCAAACCCCGCACGGGGCGGCGCATCCTCGGTCAGCGACTCCAGCATGCGCAAATGCTGCAGCTGAACCGAACCCGTCGCGGGACCACTGCATGTACAGCGACATGGAGCAAGCTCGGCGCGCGAGCGTGCAGGTCGCCTCCCCGGCGAATGTGTTCTCCAGGAGCTCGTGGACGCGCAGGTCGTCAGCCGCATCCGCTGCCTCCTGGCTGAAGCGGCAGTGGTCGCCGGCAGTGCGAGCGACGAGGAGCAGCTGCCCAAACCGCAACTCGCGTTCTTCAGCCTCCCGCTGGGGCACGGAAAGGGGCCCGAAGGACGGCCTCCCTTCGGGCTCTGGCCGGTCCCGCCGTGGCTGCAGGCCCCTGGGTCTCGGCGTCCTCCTCCGCGTTGCCCTCCCAGACTGGCAGCAGCGTGCGGGAGCTGCCAGAAGGTCGGGGCTCGCCGCTTCCCACGGGAGGCGCAGCGCGGGCGTCGGCGCAGCACCGCGGAATTGCCACAGCGCGTTCGCAGCGACGCCGGGCTCCATGGGACCCTCAACCCCCTGGCAAATACTCCTGGAGCTGAGCGGCGCAGTGCCCCCCAGCCCCCCCAGCTCTCGATCCGAATGTTTACGGATGCGCCTGATTGCTGACCTCTAGGATCCAACTTGCTGACCGAAACTGGATGGCACAAGTATTCAACCTGCGCACCCGGCATCAGGGCGGACGCCTTCTCAAGGCGCGCGTCGGACACTGTCTGCGGCCCAAATATCCCAAACATTACACCAGCTGAATGGCTGACCTGCGGCACGCGGTGGACACGAGTATCTCCAGAGGTGCATCCGAGTCCAGGGCAAGCGCCTTGCTGAGGCGTTCATCGAAACTGTTCGTGGTCCAATTCCCAAAGCAGCACAGCACCCTCGCTCGACGGACGGAAAGGGCATGCGTGCACTTGCGCACGCATGTTCGCAGGATGAAATAAACACAATATGCTTCGCATGTGACGAGCATGCATTGCACCACGTAGATGGCTCCACGTGACGTATACCACATGTAATGCACCACGCAGTACCCTTCTCAGAACACACTGTTACGGGCCCGCGCTGGCTAGCATC